ACCACCACCACCACCACCACCAGTCGTCGTAGTAGCAGCAGCCGCAGCAGCAGTAGTAGCAGGAGGAATAGTGGGAGGAGGACTTGGCCTGACTAGGAGTACGGCTGGACAACTAGGAGGAGTAGGAGCAGAGGAGAGAAGCAGGAGCACGAGGCAGTAGGTGTGGTAGAAGCAGTAGAAGCTGTTGTGTAGTACTACCAATGCCATTACCACTACCACAACCACTACAACCACAACACCCACTACAACCACAACGACGCCGACGACGACCACAACAACAACAACAACATTTCACAACAACATTGCAATCGAACGCTGCGCGAGTGGGCTCCACGCATGGTGGGCATAGTACCGCAACAAGCGCTCACTAGGTGTGCAACCGACCCGACGATGAAAACATGACTAAGCTACATGATGTCTGACATAGCGGTTCTTGGCGACGCTGTGCTGCCTCGTACTGCTTAGACCAGCACACGAGCCTCCCTCCGCATCTCCACCGAGCAGGATTGCCCACTGCGGCTGCCCCGTATCCGAAGACCGACGCACATGAGAGGTTCGGGAGGCCTCCGCCCTTGACCACGTTTTGAGCCCGGAACTGTGTTTGCTTGAGTACCTGTCAAAAACTGGAATGTCGTGAGCGAGCTGGGCACTCGACGGCATTAGCAGTAAGTGGCAGGACGCTGGTGCTGCAGCCATCGCAATTCTTTTTGCATGAGCTTCCTCGGTACTGTCGCAGCACAGCAGTGCAAAAGGAGAACGGCACTCTTGGCCAGTGCCTGCGCGAAGAAATTGTGATGAGGAACAGGGGGCCCAGCACCAACGGGCTGATTTCTGGCCAGAGGCCCACGGTAAGTGCTTTCAGTATTTCCTGTTCCATGAACCGGAAGACGAAGCACCATGGTCTCCGGAGGTCTCCCACCACTTTTGGCCAGACCAACCTCGTTGGCTCCAACCTTTTTCCTCACGCTGGCGCGGGTCTGTGGAAGGCGAGGCGGGAAAAGAGGGCACAGGTTGATTATGCAGATGGGGTTTCTGTCAACCAAGGCCAGAGGGCAAGGCCAGCCCAGAGGAGAGGACATCAAGTCATTAAACCGGAAAAGGAAGAGGACCTAAACCGAAAGGGTCATACGGTGGCGGCTGCATTGCACGGCTCAAAGGGGTGCATTCGCAGCTGCACCTGGGGAGTTCGGGGCGACATGCGTGGGCGAGCCGCCAAGCCGGCCACGTTTGGGGCTAAACTTGATCACTTAGCCAAATTTCCTGCGGCGTGACACCGACCTCAGGAAGGCCTGTGACCAAAGTGGCCCAGACCGTCGTGAACCAAACCCTCAGGCGAGCTTTGGGGCAACCCTCCGATTGTACACAAATCGACGTACCTGTTGTAGCTACTTGGTAGCCTCAGCATCGAGGTGTCTGAGAGTGAGCATCTCAAAATTGGCATAGGAAATCATGATGCCAAGATACTTGACGCTGCCCTCTAAGCGAAAAGCTTGGAGGGTTCGGTTTGGGCCAAGCCTCCGATGTTTGTGCAGTTCGCCAGAGGCGTCAGGCAGCCAACAGCCATCACGGCTGGAGCTTCTTCACCAGCTAGCTTGACTAGCACGGGGCATTTGACCGGATTCACTCGCAGCTTCAGTGCCGACACGGCCTCCAAGAGGGCCAGTATGAGCTTGTGTGGGGCCCTCAGGTCAGACTTGGAGCGAATAGTGCGGTGAGCCACAAAGTAGTCAGCATAGCCCGTTAAGTTAAGAACTTCTGGACCGCTTCCAACCCAAACATCTCTATCAAGCTGTGGAGGAGGCGACCAGGAGAAGGGGGTGGTAGCTAGCTTGCAGCCCTGCTTGATCCCTTTCTTTGTCTCTACAGCAGCATGATTACCTTGCGAATGCAATCTGTACTTGGATGCGTGATGCAGACTGTGGACCAGGCTGGAAAGCGAGGCGTCAGTGCCCAGCTCCTGCAGCAGATCCAAGATCTCCTGCCTAGAAACGGTATCAAAAGCCTGGCAAAGTACCAAGGCAGGCGGACAGAGCCCCCGCTTGCTCTGCTGGGCTTCGCCGAGGCACAGATAGCTCTTACTTCCCGCAGGTGTGCCCTCTGCCTGGCAGGTACGCAAACTGGGGAAGCGGTGCCCTGTACGGGAGTATGCTGAACGACCGAAGTTGGCTTGTCCGCTGGCTTGCCTGGCTTTGGTATCAGGCATAGATCAGCGTTCAACAGGCCCTCATTAAACCCCGGTTTAAACGGGTCGTGCCAGCGCAATAAGTCGCTAGGGCTGTTGCGACTGGCACCGCACAAAGCTTCCAGGCTGCGGCTGGCGCGGTCCGTTTAGGGACGCCTTTGCCTGGTTTAATCGATGCTATGTGCCTGGCCAGCTACTGTGAGTCCAACAATGGGAACCGACCCTTCTGTGAGTAAGGTGAACTGCACAGACTGTCCTGGCATACCGACTTAATTCCCGAAGCTCACCCTCCAGGCTGAGGTGGAAACCATCTTTGTCCTTGAGCTGGGCTTGTGTAGGAAGCTGCCAAGGCCGCAGTTGCTTGAGGACCTAGTACGCGATGTGTTGGTCGTCAGCCTCGATTGCTAGGTCAACCTCAGCAAGGGCAGTTGTCTTTCTTGTGCTGGCGCACCGCCTGTCGGTGCTGGCCCAGCAGGGCCACTTGCGCCTGTAGTTCTTCAAACGAGGCGTCCGTCGGTCGAGCTCGCCAGAAGGCGCCGAGCCGCGATAGTGTCCTGTCCTTCCGGCAAAGTGTCGGGGAGTTTCGGAAAGAAACGCTGAGTGGCCTGCAACATGGGTTGAGCCTGTGGTTGATCGGATCGAACAGCAGATTGCAAGCCCGGGAGTTGCCAATGTCGCATCGGCTGTACCCTGGCAACCACCGGCAGATGGCCCCCTTGCCTCTCCGGTCATGTTGTTCGGGACTCGCCCTGCGCGAAGGTATGGGCCGGGCAGGCCTGCCATGTGTTAAGGGCCACCACGTGGTGGGTGCGGAGGAAATTTGTCAAGTCCACCTCGTCCGGCCTGCATTCTGCCAGCGTTAGCAGGCATGGGGCCTACGAATCGGGGAAGGTTGAAGACCGAACAGAACAATTGAAGTCACCGGCTATCAGGAGGGTGTCCCTAGCAGGAACCTGCTTGTTTCATCTAGACAGGTGTCGGAGCACTGCCGCCCTATCGGCCTGGTAGACAGCAGCGACCGTGGTGTGGTCGCCGTGTCAGTCGAAGCGCACCCCCAAGACCCTGTCTCTTGCATGCTCCTTCCATCGTATGCTTTGAAGCAAGATGGAGGGGAAGAGCAGCACCATGACTCCATTCGCACTGGTCGTGGAGGGACCCGAGTCATCTGGCTAACATCCTGCCTGTGTGGGCTGAGCCCCTGCTGAGTGAGATTTGCAAAGGGCCAAGCCACCTCTCGATGGTTTCTTGGCCGAAGGTGCGGAGAGGCCGCCGACACGCAGTGCCAGCCTGCAGTTGTAAACTCTGCCGTTTCCTTCCAATGCGTTTCGGGTAAAACCAGGACATCACATACCTGCGAGGCCTCAGTGCGCAGCCAACACTTGATCTCGGACCACTGCTGCTGTCCCAAGTGCGCGGCCTGCTCGAGGCCTGGAGAGGCTACTTGCGTGCGCTGCTGGTGCCTGAGGAGCTATTCGGCGAACCTGAGTGGGAGTGAGGACTGTGAGGACCTGACCTCGATACGAAACCGGCTGTTGTTTGGCCACTGCCGTCCTGCACGCATGCTTGAAAGACTTCTTCCGACACTGAGAACAATTGCGTGAGTGCATCGGCAGCATTGCCGTCCGCTGATTTCGTCACGAAGCGAGCTAAATGACTCCCTCCACCGCGCGGAGGGTGGAAACCCTACCGCCTGCCCAGTAAATCAATGCCCCAGACAGAGAGTGGGTCCAGGAATTGGGACCTGGCAAATCAGACCAAGAGGCAGAGAGGCACATGGCGCAGCGTACGTGACACTTACCGTTCAAAAAGGAGCGAGTTCGGGACCTTTAGCAACCACCACCACCACCACCACCACCAACACCACGACTACTACTACTACTACTCCTCCTACTCCTATTCCTACTGCCACTGCCACTGCCACTGCCACTGCCACTGCCACTGCTACTACTGCTACTACCACCACATAGGAATGAAGCCAGCACCGGCCTCTGTAGCCAGGCGCTCCAACACCTCTACCCTCAGGCCTGGGCGAGTTCTTGGCAAGGCTGCCACGGACTACTTAACAAGCGTCCCACAACAGTGCAAGTCCCACTGGTACCACTACTGCTGAACAGCCGCCTGAAAACCAACCACGCAGAAAAAACTGTAAGATCGTGTGCACCCAGGCCACGCTCTCCGTAGCGCCTTTCGGGGCTGCATGCCTTGGTCCAGCTGCCCAGCTGTTCAGCTCTCAACCAAGTCATCCGCAAGGAACTCCAAGACCCAAAAGAAGTTCCGGATAGAATGCAAACTGTCTCGGTCTGTCAACACATCCTCTGACGTTTGATGTAATCCATTTATGAGGCATCGTGCCTCTGTGACTAGGTGTGACAAGATGGCTCAACCACAGGCTTCCAGGGCCGCTCTTGGAAGCTCACGCATATTTGGGACCAGGGCACAGCCGACGAGGTGCGGGACTCACGGGAGGGCGAGGCTCCGGACGAGCTGGACCTGTGGAGGCTGACTTGGAGCTGCGGAAGGCATCGGGATCCGAAAGAAGTGCCCATGTCATTCCAGCCTGTTCCGCGGACCGGCGCCATGCGGGACCAACTTCTTGCCTGCCGAGCAAGAGTAGCAACAGCAGCAGCAACCTCAACAACTCACCTTCTAATACCCATGACAACTCCCCCACACTGGCCCACTCACTCTGGCGCAAAACGCCGAGGGAACAACACCTGCCACTCGTCGCCCGCTGGCCTACGAGGATCGCCTTGGGATGTACCTTGCGAGTTGGGCACATGTAAAGATCTGGTCACGAGCCCCTTCCATCAGATCGCACAGCAAGGTGGACAGAGACTTGCCACAGAGGCCGTGCCACATTACCAATCAAAAGCTGATTGCTCCGACCCGCAACTATGGCCTGTGTTGGCGGCGGCGACTGCTTCCGCTGCTCGAAAGACCCCAAGCTGCCTTAACGATGCCAAGTCTTGCTGCCAAAGTCTTTCTGATAGTCAGGAAGTAAAGAAAGAGACAACAAACTGGTTGGCCATACTGTCTTGCAAAGGTGCGCTGTGGTCTGCTATGTATTGAATTCTGCGTCGTCGAGAAAAAAGGTTGGGACGAGTTGCGAACGTCACACTCAGCGACTTTTCCCAGGCAAGGAGACGCTCTTAATTAAAGGGAATTCCTTCTTGCAGGGTTCCTTGTCCAGTCGCCGGGAGGTCTCGGTCCAAAAGAGCGTGCAGGTGCTGCTACGGTCGACCTGTCTGTGGCACCCGTGCGCAGCTTTGTTTCACAGAGCTGTCAGCAGATCGCCTGCAGGCTCTTGGTGGCGGGATGGAACCATGTTGCACAGTGGAAACAAGGTGTCAGAATGCACTGGAGCCAGGTGTTATTGCTGTCATACGTGCATCGCAGAACCACGTTGTCCGAAACTTGCTCGAAACCCCCAGAATCGCTCTGGACTAAAATGCGCATCGCTTTTATATATTTTAATGGCTTTGGTGTAGGGTACCTGGATGCTGCGCCGGCCGATGCTCGAAAAGATTGGTTGGTGAAGCTGCCCGAAAGCATATTTGACTATAGCGACTTTTCCACCTACTGAATCGGTGCAGCCTTCAGTGACTATGACTGCATTTCCGCAGGCCGATGCCAACTCACAGGGCCGGAGGCTAGCCGTCGACACATCCACTGTCTGCCATTCCGAACTGCCAGAAGAACTTCATGAGTCTGAGGTGCCAGACCCGAAAAATGAGCTCAGAAACGAAGTAATTCGGCCATTCTTTCCGAGATGCCATCTGGCGCGATTGGCACCACGGCTTGTCCTTCAACTGTCATCCTTAGCATAGAAAATCGTGGAAAGTAGGCATGGGAAAACCTTGTGCGCGAATGCGGCACAGGTCAGGCCCACGGGCCTTTCCCTGTTGCATCCAGCATGGGTATTTCGCATTCATGGACAGGGCCTCTATGCCAAAGGCTGAGGAACCATTGTCTGAACCCCTTGACCGACTGGATTTGCTCTGCTTTTTTTGTCACAAGCGAAACCCGGACCCTGAAGCCCAGAAGAGCGATGAGCCCCGGCATTCCTCGCCACGACACCAAGCATGGGGCGGTGAAGGGCTCCGGGCCGGTGACCGTGACCGTGGCAAGCGGGTCGGGGACCTGCGATGGGTTCGAGACGACGGACTAAAGATATTGCTGCACGAGTTTGCGCTTATGCGCTTGTGCTTCATGTACAACGATGTGCTTGTGCTTCAGGCTCAATGCATTTATATTTGTGGAGATTCCGGCAAATTGAATGCAGTACTCCGGAACGTTGCAACGACTGGGAGAGACTCATCCTTCTTCCTTGCGACTGTAATGCATGTTTCCCACCCGCCATGTGTAAAAAGGCTACATACTATAGTGATACTTGTACATTGTAAGCTCCCGTGCGCCGTCCTTGCTTTATCCAATGGCAACACTGCACTGCCGCAGTCTGTGATGTGCTAATACGCGCTGCAAAGTCCCTGTGTACACTATTCGTCACACTGGCACATGTGGTTGTAGACCCGGAAATAGGAGACACCAGCACAACTTCTCCTACGAACGTGCACGGCACTCGTTCATTTCTTTCCGTGCTATTTTTGGCTGCCGAATTACAAATACGAAAACGGCTTTCTGTAAACAAACTTACACACGCTGCATACTCTACATGTCGGGCCGATCATCCATCCATCCATCCATCCATCCATCCATCCATCCATCCATCCATCAGTCCATCCATCCATCAGTCCATCCATCATGCACCGATCCATCCATGCGTGCACAGGAACATATATGCGTTAAACGAACAACAACACAGTACATTACAGCACAGTACAGCTACATACCTCCAGCCATCCATCCCATCCATGCAAGCATGCATGCATACATACATATATATACATGTATACATATGCACACATACATGTCCAAACGCATACAAAGGCGCACATAGACTTATATGTATATGCATGTGTGCATGTATGTGTATGCAAAAATGTACGCATATACACATATGCCCACATGTACGCATACTCAATTTACAAGCAAGCTTCATTTCTTGGTGATTCGATTAGTTTGCCTTCTTGAGGCTGTCTAGACTACTTTTACACGTGAAGGGCATAACGAACTGATAGTACGTACCGTCGCACGACAAAAAAACAAGCGCAAACTTTGAGAAACCAGCGCACGGGGTTAACTGCAATCTTCTGTGCACTGCAGGATTGTGGGCTGTTCGATGCACTATGCGCTCTCATCTGCACTGCAAGCGAATGACATGTCATCTGCAGAGACACATAGCGCACATCTCCAGGCAACATACGCTGAAATTGGATCCTCTTAGCTTGGCGATTTTCCGACAAGGCCTCCCCGCTTTTCCCAGCAGTTTAGAACGTTTTTTTTGAGGGGTGTTGGACGAAAGAACGTGTGGCTGCTGGAAAGTTTTGCTGTCGTGATGTTGTGAAAGAAAACTAGCTGCTTCATTGAGACGAGTTGTAGCCATCACATTGGATCACTTCAATGAGAGTCCTGCCAAAAGGGACCCGCTCTGAGCTCTGGGTTTTTTGGTGGGCTTGTTACTCTTGACAGATGCGACTGCACGCCCATTATCACCGATGTACGAACCCAAAAAACTATGGCAAGGAAGACTGTGTGTGTGTGTGTGCGAACTGGTCCTGGAGGAGTCGAACTCAAACCTATCCACTTTCCGCGTAACCCATGAGAACGGATCCTTAAAGTGGTTGCATGATGTATGCCAAACTCCCATAGTGACACCCAACTGCGCAACACTACAACCGAGAACTGCAATCCCGTTGATCCTGTTTTTTGCCGTTGTGGGCAAAGCGTCGTGCGCTATCATATGCCGGTCCGAAACTGACTGGTATGTGCTTGTGAAATTTGCGCTGGCGGCTTTATGATTGGATCTTCTTCATTCTCATATGTGGTTGTACATGCTAGCATGAATACTACTCTAGAAAGATGTTGCCATGGATTCTTGCATGGTCTCTTTTCAGCTGCCATGTGCTGCATCGCGGTGGGCCTTCAAGCTGCATCCATACGTATGGGAACGCTGGTAGGACATCGCTTTGTGCTTACAAGTCGTTCAGGCTGGTGGGGTCGGAACGAACAGGGTGCGAGCCGGGCACTTGCAATCTAATTAGACCCTGAAAAGCGTCTTTGGTGTTGAGCTAGCCTCGAAGGTGACAGCCTGCTGCACAGCTGGCTAAGAGCCTCCGCCCGTGCCTGAGCGTACTGAAATTAACTCTGTTTCAGCCCACACGCTGCAACACAAGCGGTGCCTGGGTACGGGTGTCCTCCTCAATTTCATCCTCGAAGGTGCAGAAGCTTTCACAACTTACACTCAATTTGATTGAGGGTGGCCTGTGCCCCTGCCATCGCCAGAGGCAAGAGTATCTCTCAGGAACCATTCCTACCACGTCCCCACCCGTGGTCCAGCACATCCGCGCTGTCATAGAAAAGAGGCTTGCGATTCGGGGAGAAGTCCTGGCGAGTGAAGTCTGAGGGCCCTTGAAGGCAGCAGCATGACAGGCTTTCTTTTGATCGGAGTGAATCCGTTCAGCTGTGTAGCATCAATCCAAACGGTGGACAAAAATGTTTCACATTGTCCCCAAAGTCTCCTTCTTTTGCCGAGCTGGGAGGCCGCCGCCAGTGCCCCCATCGTTGCCGGGCGTCATACCCATCAGAGGGATGAAAATGCGACGGCCTCACGTGCGGTACATGATTGTCGCGGTAGTAGTGGCAACAGTGGTAGGAGTATAGCACACCTGGACGTTATTAGCATTTCGGCAGTGATGCTCTTGTGATCGCACGCAATTAGGCATGGACAGTATTACGGTTTGTTCATGGATGCTGTCTCGATCGCATGCAATTAGGCATGGACGTTACTAAGGTTTTTGGGCATGAATGCGCTGGTGATCGCACGCCATTAGTCACGGACTTGAGTAGAGTTTGGGCGTAACGCTAATGATCACTGGCAATTTGGGCGGACGTTGTTTGGGTTTGGGCGTGGATGCGCCGGTGATCGCACGCAAATAGGCAGGCACGTTCTGAATATTTTGGCATGGATCTCACCCACTACTACTAAGGGTACTACTACTACTACTACTA